TTTGGAGGGTTTAAAGGGAGCGGATTCGGCAAAGAATTTGGAATGGAAGGATTACACAAGTTTCTCAAAGTTAAATCCGTGATCACTCCTCTTCATGATTCTCCATGGCTATGAATGTAACATGTCGTTCCTGTCATTTTATAAGCTCGAGCATTTGAAAAAACTTGTAATACCCAAAATAATATTTCATACCAAAGTATATGAGAAATGATAAAATTTGAAAACCAAATGAAATGAAAGGGTTTAAACTGTAAATTTCTATAACATTCATAATGAATGTTGATATCATTCATGATGAATATCTCGTAAATGTTCGAGAAAGCGCTTATCAAATGCTTACTTGGGTAAGTTCTTACCAAATCACATTACCTTACCAGATGAATAATGGCAAGGAGCAAGGACCTTATCCGGTAAGAGCGAAGACAAGGACCGAGAGTCTTACCCAGTAAGTGATGACAACAACTCTTACCACAGTTAGTGCTTACCAGGTAAGTTGATACATACTTTGTCGTTTTAGTAGACTAAAATCTTACGCGGTAAATAAACGATTTCATTGAATTTTACCGTTGAGCGCTTACCGGATAATTGTTTAGGTAAACAGTCCCATAGATTCGCAACTGAGAGCGTCTCCAGCAACTTCTTCAAAATAAATATTTTGGATATTTTTGCTCCAATGGTGAATTTGGAGAAAATGGTTAATCACTTGTAAAAGACAAATTATTTGTTATTCTTTCTACCAATTAGGGTCCGTTTGGTTTGCATAATTGTTTTATATTCGGATTTAATGGAGGGATTTGGATTTGGGTTGTAACAGATTTGAAATCATTGGTGTGCTTGATTTGAAATGTGATTGGATTTCATTATTTATAAATATTTTTTACAAAAAATTATAAATAATTAACCTACATTTTTTATTAATCGATTGTTATAAAATAAAATGTTTTTAACATTTTTTTAAAACCTTATTTCATACAATCTTACGAAATCCCATGAAATCCCGAGCACCCCATAAGGATTTCGAAATCCTATGTTTGTAGGATTTCATATCCGGACAATGCAACAAATCAAACATGAGATTGGAATGGATGAACTATTTTTTCTTTGAAGAATTTTAACTTTTAATTATCCATTATGGAGAATCTGTTTGAGATGTTGTAAGTGGTTTTTTTAACAGACGATGTGGGATGGACGCTTGAGAGCATCTCCTATAGATTCTTTAAAATAGAGAAAATGTAGTTATTGTTTTTTATATTACTCCAACAGATTCTTTATCTTGTTCTCTAAAATAGAGAAATCTAAAAAAACTTCAAATATAAGTAATTCTCTAAAACTCTTTGTACGGACGTTTGCAGTGAGGTCGCATGTGCGGTTTGAGCATTTTCTCAAACTATGAACCGCATCGTATATATCTCAAACCACAAAACTTTATCGTTTGACCTAACGTACTTTACACTTTCAATCCAATAATTATAAGGTTAAGACTTTATTATAAAATAAATGATAATGAGACTATAGTCCAAACAAATAAAAGATTTAAATACACCCGATTCCCAAATACATATTACATAATTAAAAATAGTCTAAAAAAAACCAAAAATATTACATAATTAAAAATAGTCTAAGAAAACTAAAAATATTACGTAAACTAGCCTAATTATTATATAATATATATACAGGCTTAATAATTTGAGTACTCCAAAATTAATATACATATATATACACACACACACACCCACACACACACACACACACATATATATATATATATATGTGTGTGTGTGTGAAAATTTATCAAAATGACCATTTTATACATCGTACGCCAACAAAATGATCACTTTTCAGACTTTTTTCAAAAAATAACCAATCAAATCGTCTCCTAGCAGATGATTTTGACCAAATAGGGGCGATTTTGACCAGAAGGTATGAAGGGGTCTCACATGTATCTGATTTGTAGGACAAAAATAAGATATTATACTTGATTTTATCCAAATCGCCCTCTGGGGCGATTTTGACCTCTTTTGTCTCTTCTAATGAAGAGAACTTTTGACACAACAATTTGACACATTGGGGGTGATTTTGACAGGTATGGACTTTTGTTCTCTAAAATGCTTAAGAGATTGCAATCTTATTCTCTGAAATAAGAATCATTTAGAAAACTCTGAATACAAAAAATTCTTTAAAACTTGATTATTTTATAAGTTTTTATAAGAAATGATTATTTTATACAATTCTACCAATAAGATTGACTTATTATTTTTTATAAATTTTTTAAAAAGTATATTAGAATGATAAATTAAAAAATATAATTCATGTTAAAATCTCTAAAATAGAGAATCTCTTAAAAAAATTAATTTCCTTTAAAAAATTTATGTTTTAATTCCCTATTTTAAAAAATATATAAAAAACTATTGAAAAATATTTTCATACGACAAATCCAAAATTTAGCGGCCAAATCCAAAATTTGAAGGGAGTACGTGAACCATCAACGTAATTTCACTCTAAATAAAATAAAAAACGAAAATAAGATTTTCAGCAAAGGACGAAAACTATAATTAAGACTATGATGTGTAGAGTTTGACGTGTCAAATTAATAGTCGTAATAATTAGATTTGGCACAGACCATATTTATTGTAGGTTTGTATTTCAAAAAAGTAGCTGTTATTTCCTGTAACACATTTTTCTTATAGACTTTATATAAAAATCCAATCTAATTAAATTTCTTGGAATACATATAAAACTAATTTTTTTTAAAATCTCTCCATACCAGTCAAAATCGCCTCTAATGTGTCAAGTCGTTGCGTCAGAAGTTGCCTTCACTAGAAAAAAAAAAAGAGGTCAAAATCGATTTGGACAAAATCAAGTATAATATATGATTTTTGTTTTCCAAATCAGATACATGTGGGACCCTTCCATACCTTTTGGTCAAAATCGCCACCAGTGCGATTTGGTTGGTTATTTTTTGAAAAAGTTTTGAAAAGTGGTCATTTTGGTCAATTTCCCTATATATATATATATATAGAGGAGCGATCAATTGCAAACTACCCTTATTTGTGAAAACCCTACAAACTAATCTCATCCATTCATTTTCTTGATCAATGGTCAAAATTAAATAGTGTTATATTAGGAAATTAAAAAAAAGTTCAATTTTTAATTTAAAAAGGGGCAAAATCGGCAAATCACCCATATGAATCTGTTTCACTGTATGAAACTGTATTTCATCACTGTTCTCTTCACTGTATGCAACTATGTCACTGAATGAGACTGTATTTCATCACTGTATGCAAGTAATTCACTGTATGAAAAACATTATTTCATCACTGTATGAATCTGGTTCACTCCATTTATCTATGTTTCTTAACTAGATGAACATGTATTTCTTCATTGTATGAATCTGTTTCACAATATTTATTCACATATGTGAATCTGTTTCACATTATGAAACTATATTAATTTTGTTAGAGTCCTCTAAATATTTTGCTCTTGGATTAGTGATTCCTTTTGATATTTTGATTTCATTTTGGAATATGACAAGAGAATAACGTGAATTTGTTTCACATTTGTGTTTGATTTTCTAGGGTTTGACTATTTACAGTCAAATCTTAGTTGTGTGGAAAGAGTTCGTACGTTTATCATGGTAAGTAGATCGTAATCAATGATAATTTACACAAATTCCGTCGGTATAAAAAAATACAGTTTGTAGAATGTAATTTAATGTATTTTAGAATTTAATTTTTCAAAAAGAATTGTATCGAATGTATATGGATATATTGTGCACAGGTTGGGCTCCGGTTAGAATGAAAATTATGGTGAAAAGAAGAATAAAAGATCTTTACCCTTGTATTAATCCTAATTGAATAGAAACATTGGATCAATTCTCTTTTAAAACCCATTTCATGAGTTGGTTTGAGATTAAAAGTGATCAATAGTCTAAATTAAGGATGTTGATTTGTTCCAACCCGGTGGGGAACCCGGCTCACTTGACCCAAACGGGGACGGAAATTCCATGCTAAAACGGGTCCCGGGTCGGGGATCCCCGGTAAACTCAAAGTAATGGATTAATTTTAAAATATTATAATTGAT